GGTCTCCCTGTCCTGGTGGGCGCCTTCTCCAGTTACAAGCAGGTCTCCCTGCCCCCAAGGGTGGCTGCAGAAGCAGCTGCTGTCACGCAGTGCCTCTCCAGGCCCCGCGTACCCTGGTGGTGATGAGGAAAACCCTCTTCAGCCTGAGCACGGCCTCCCTGAGAGCCCCCATCTTCCCCCAGAACAGGCCCCGGAGCGCAGGCCCCCAGCCCACGCCTCACCCTTTATCTGTTCCTTCACACCGGGGTGCAGTAAGGGTACAGTGAGTGTTCAAGGCCAGACTAGGCTACATAGCAAGACACCTGGAAAAGTCGGAGAGGGCCAGGCACTGCCGCTCCTGCCCGCGATGGACTTCCCCCTGGGGAAGTGTCACATCTTTTATTTTGGTTGTTCCCATTTCTGTCTGTCTCAGCTCTTCCAGATCACATTTTTCCTGAAAATCCATCTTCCTTATTAACAGGTCCAGAATCCCATCAAGTCTTTTTTTTTTTTTTTAACAGTAGGTTTCTATTAAAAGGTGGCCACATTTAATAAGCTTTGCTTGCTGGGCTACAGTGGCTCACTCCTATAATCCACCTCCTGGAGAGATGGAGATTAGGAGGGAAGATCACTGTTGGGAAAGTGACTGAGACCCCATCTCAACTATGAAAAGCTGTGGCATGAGCCTGTCATCCCAGCCCTCAGAGTCAGCGGTGATGTTCTGGAGAAAGCCAGCCCTGGTGGGCAGGTGGGCTTTCCACGCACATCCTCCTAGCCCACAACACCATCGGTGACCGGATATCCGTACACAGCCGCGCCCATCTGGAGGCCAACCCCACCCAGGTGGCAGGAGATGAGCCGTGAGAATTGCCTGCCCTCACTGGCCTGAACGAAACTGCCCGTCCCCTCCGCAGGACAAGATACCCATGGCCCAGCGCCGCCGCTTCACTCGGGTGGAGATGGCACGGGTGCTCATGGAGCGCAACCAGTACAAGGAGCGGCTCATGGAGCTGCAGGAGGCCGTGAGGTGGACCGAGATGATCAGGTGGGTCCCGGCGCTGAGCTCCCCTCTCCAGTTTGGACCATGGTCACTGAGCACAAAGAGCAGGCCAACCTCCCCCACCTCCCCTCCCCTCCTCTGCAAAGGATAGACGGATGGGGAAGAGAGGGGGAGAAGAGGGGGAGGCCTCTGGTGGCAGACGGGGGTCCCAGGTAGTAGTCTCAGCCAGTTCCTCCTTGCCTCCCCTTCAGGGCATCACGAGAGCACCCGTCTGTTCAGGAGAAGAAGAAGTCCACCATCTGGCAGTTGTGAGTGGGCACCGGGAGGGGGAGGGTGGTCACTTGGGGAGGGTGGGCCCCCAGGACCCAGGTGCACGCCCTCTGACTCCTGTGTCTCCACCCGCAGCTTCAGCCGCCTCTTCAGTTCCTCCTCCAGCCCGCCTCCTGCCAAGCGCTCCTACCCGTCAGTGAACATCCACTACAAATCCCCCACCACTGCCGGCTTCAGCCAGCGCCGCAGCCACGCCATGTGCCAGATCTCAGCCGGCAGTCGGCCTCTGGAGTTCTTCCCGGACGAGTGAGTGTCCAGCCTTTGCTGTCCCTCAGATCATATGAGGGGGGAGAGGGCTGTGCAGCCCGGGACAAGCCCGGACCTGGGACACACGGAGCCTCCATGTCCTCCCGATCAGTGACTGCACATCTTCCGCCCGGCGTGAGCAGAAGCGCGAGCAGTACCGCCAGGTTCGAGAGCACGTGCGCAATGATGATGGCCGGCTGCAGGCCTGCGGCTGGAGCCTGCCTGCCAAGTACAAGCAGGTGCGCAGCCTGGGCAGGCCGGGCAGGGAGGGCCCGTGTGGTGCCGGGACTCGGAGGAAAGCCCCGCCTGCAGGTGGACAGTCTGGCCTTCTGCCAGGCTCCGAAGAGGCAGGCCCCTACCCAGTTTGTGCTGCAAAAAAGCCAGAAGTGTGCTGTGAGTCGGGTTTCTGGAGGACGGTGTCCCTCACCTGGCCCAGACCCACAGCCTCTCCCTGCTCTGTTGCAGCTGAGCCCCAGCGGGGGCCAGGAGGACACGCGGATGAAGAACGTCCCTGTGCCCGTGTACTGCCGCCCCCTGGTAGAGAAGGACTCCACCATGAAGGTGAGCCCAGAGGCCTGCGCGGGGGCCTGGGCGGGGGCCTGGGCGGGGGGCCTGGGCGGCAGCCCCGCCCCCAGGAGCCGGCGGAGAGCTGTGCCCCAGCCCACAGCTCTGGCCTTGCAGCTATGGTGTGCCGCTGGTGTCAACCTGAGCGGGTGGAAGCCGAGTGAAGAGGACTCTGGCAATGGAGTCAAGCCGATTCCCGGCCGTGATCCTCTGACCTGTGACCGGGAAGTGGAAGGCGAGCCCAAGAGCGACCATGCGTCCCCTGAGAAGAAGAAGGTCGGTGTGGTGATGATGCTGTGGTCCCGTCCCTCTCGGCACTTGCAGAGGGAGGGACCCTGGGTGCTGTGCTGGGTAGGCAGGAGGCAGGTGCTGCCCGTGCAGGCCAGCGGCTGCTTGGTCCTCAGGCACCAGAGTCAAGAGTGTAGTCCCAGGGTCTGTGCCATGAAGCATGGCCGCCACACACAAGAGGAAGATAAAACGTTTGGGGGTGGAGCCCAGGACATAGACGTGCACCCAGCTTGACCTAGAGTGGGCACCTAACCTCTCAGCTCATGGTCTTCCTCCTGGAAGCCATCACTCGATGTGGTTCTGAGTTCTTGTCAAAGCCTGGGGAGGCCAGCTAGTCTGGAGCTGGGGCCAAGACTACATCCTAAGCTGGGCGCCGGTGCCTCACACCTGTAAGTCTAGCTACTCAGGAGGCTGAGATCTGAACATCATGGTTCAAAGCCAGCCCAGGCAGGAAAGTCTGTGCAAGTCTTATCTCTAATTAACTACCAGAAAGCCAGAAGTGGTACTGTAGCTCAAGTGGTAGAGCGCTCACCTTGAACTGAAGAGCTGAGGGACAGCGCCCAGGCCCAGAGTTCAAGACCCATAACCCACAAAAAAAAAAAAAAAAGACTACATCCTATAATACCCAAGGAGACTCGGTGACACACTGCTGCTGGGGTGGCCTCAAGTTCAGGAGCCAGCCTTGGCCTCCCTCACCTCTGCCACAGGTCAAGGAGGCGCCAGAGACCGATGCCACCTCCAGCCGGGTGTGGATCCTCACCAGCACCCCAACCACCAGCAAGGTGGTGATCATTGACGCCAACCAGCCCGGCACGGTCGTGGACCAGTTCACAGTCTGCAACGCTCACGTCCTGTGCATCTCCAGCATCCCCGGTGAGCCTGGGCACTGCCCTTTGAAGTTGGCACTTGGGGGAAGGCTGGCTGGGACAACTGGCGAGCATGTGTGAAAGGCCTGGGTGCCAGCAGTAAGTGGACACTGTTTGTGCCACTTAAGACCCTGGGCCGGGGTCCAGAGGCGGCTCTGGGCATGCACAGGGCACTGGCCATCCCATGACCACAGCCTCAGCCTCCGCACCGTGCTGGGGACCAGGTGATGCAGGCTGTGGGTCTCTGCTGTGAAGCCTTGCCCCTGAGCTGAGACGCCCTAAGCTTCCTAGAGCCACCACCGTCATGTGATCAGCCATTCATGCTGAGGACCTGACTCTCAGCTCCCCCCAGCCCAGGGGCCCAAGTAGCGGAGCCAGCTTGCTGGACTCCAGGTACTGGTCCTACGGGCGCTGAGTGTAGCTCGGCTGGCCGCCCCTCCTGCTGTCTCTGTGATTGGGCCATGGAGGGCCTGTTCGGCGTTAGACTAACCTGGCGGCTGTGCCTCCTCCCCCAGCCGCCAGCGACAGCGACTACCCCCCGGGAGAGATGTTCCTGGACCGCGATGTGAATCCCGAGGACTCCAGCGCCGACGGCGTGCTAGCTGGCATCACCCTGGTGGGGTGTGCCACCCGCTGCAACGCGCCACGGAGCAACTGCTCCTCCCGGGGGGACACCCCCGTGCTGGATAAGGGGCAGGGTGAGCCCGGGCAGCCGCCTTCTCCCCCCACCCCCTGTCCTCCACTTCGACGCAGCCCAGCTCACCCCTCCTTCCATAGGGGAGGTGGCAGCCACGGCCAGCACGAAGGTCAACCCATCCCAGTCCACGGAGGAAGCCACGGAAGCCACAGAGGTGCCAGACCCTGGACCCAGCCAGCCGGAGGCCACTGCTGCTCGGCCTGGGCCCCTTACAGAGCATGTGTTCACTGACCCGGCACCCACCCCACCGTCCAGCACCCAACCTGCCAGGTGGGCTCCGCAGGCCAGGGAGAGGGGAGCAGAAGGGAGGCTGCCCCAGGCAGGAGGGATTAGCACCCGCACAGGGGCAGGCCTCTGCACCTCCCTGGAGCTGCCACGTCCCGTCCGTAGCGAGGACAGGCCGGAGCCAGGTGTCAGCAGGGAGCAGCCGCCGCTCGAGTCCAGCGCGGAGCCCTCGGCATCCATCAGCAGTGCGGCACCCACCATGTGGCTGGGAGCCCAGAATGGCTGGTAGGCCAAGCCAGGGCAGGGGTGGGAGGGGTCCTGGAGTGAGCCCCGCTCACCCCGCCTCCGCCCACAGGCTCTACGTGCATTCAGCCGTGGCTACCTGGAAGAAGTGTCTGCATTCCATCAAGCTGAAGGACTCCGTGCTGAGCTTGGTGTATGTGACCCAGCGTAGGGCTGGGTCTCGGGAGGGGCCTGGTGTGGCCTCTTGGCCTCGACCTAGCATGCTGTCTCCCTGTTCCAGGCACGTGAAAGGCCGCGTGCTGGTGGCTCTGGCGGACGGGACCCTGGCCATCTTCCACCGTGGCGAAGGTAAGCCCTGAGACGGGTCACAGCGGCTCCATAGACGGGAGGTGGGCCTGGCCCCAGCCAGGCCTGAGCGGTCCTGGGCTCTCTCCAGATGGCCAGTGGGACCTGAGCAACTACCATCTGATGGACTTGGGTCACCCGCACCACTCCATCCGCTGCATGGCCGTGGTGTACGACCGCGTCTGGTGCGGCTACAAGAACAAGGTGCACGTCATCCAGCCCAAGACGATGCAGATTGAGGCAAGTGCCGCAGCCCATACTGGGGGAGATGGGCTTCCCAGCGGAGTCCCCGAGGAGCCACCCCTCAGCTGGGCATCCGCCTCGGGGATACACGCTCCCACCTCCACTAGGGCCCCTCTCTCGTGACCGGAGGGGCTACACAGACATGGGGAGACAAGATGTGGTAGTGAGTTCCAGTTTCCCTTTCCTGCGTGCCCCGCCCTGTTGATGGGCTGCCGTGTCCCCCACAGAAGTCATTTGATGCCCACCCAAGGCGGGAGAGCCAAGTGCGGCAGCTGGCATGGATTGGCGACGGGGTGTGGGTGTCGATCCGCCTGGACTCCACCCTGCGGCTCTACCACGCCCACACCCACCAGCACCTGCAGGATGTGGACATCGAGCCCTATGTCAGCAAGATGCTGGGTGAGGGACCGTGCGGTGCGGGGACGCGGGGCCCCAGCTCGGGTGAGCCACACTAACCTTCTCCCGCCCCCCCCCCCCCGCAGGGACCGGCAAGCTGGGCTTCTCCTTTGTGCGCATCACCGCCCTGCTCATTGCAGGCAACCGCCTCTGGGTGGGCACGGGCAACGGGGTCGTCATCTCCATCCCCCTGACTGAGAGTGAGTGCCCCTCTCCCAGGACAGAGCCGGTGGCTCTGCTTAAAGGGCGCGCCCGGGTGGGTGGTGCTCCCAGACACGCCGGGAACTAACCAGCCTCCCTGCCTCCTTCTCAGCCGTGGTCCTCCACCGAGGCCAGCTCCTGGGGCTCCGAGGTAAGTCCTCCAGCGCGCCTCCGCGCCGTCCTTCCCCCCTCGCTAGAAATGAGGTGGCTCTGCCCTCCTCCTCCTCTGTCTCTAGCCAACAAGACGTCCCCCACATCTGGGGAGGGGGCCCGCCCAGGGGGCGTCATCCACGTGTATGGGGACGACGGTGGCGACAGGTCCGCCAGCAGCTTCATCCCGTACTGCTCCATGGCCCAAGCCCAGCTCTGCTTCCACGGGCACCGGGACGCCGTCAAGTTCTTCGTCTCGGTACCAGGTGAGTGAGGGGCAGCGCGCGTCTGCCCGGCCCACGGCCCCTCAGCGAGGGCCACGGCCCCTTCAGAGCCCCCTGCCCACCACAGGGAACGTGCTGGCCACGCTCAACGGCAGCGTGCTCGACAGCCCGACCGAGGGCCCGGGGCCCTCCGTGCCTGCCGTGGAGGCCGAGGGCCAGAAGCTGCGGAACGCACTGGTGCTCAGCGGCGGGGAAGGCTACATCGACTTCCGCATTGGTGAGTGGGTGCTGGCGGGGCGGGCCTGGCTGGCAGTGGCGGTGGAGAGCTGCGCTCACAGCTGCCATCGCTCCGCTCCAGGGGACGGAGAGGACGACGAGACGGAGGAAGGCACTGGGGACGTGAGCCAGGCGAAGCCCGGGCTCTCCAAGGCTGAGCGCAGCCACATCATTGTGTGGCAGGTGTCCTACACCCCCGAGTGAGGCCCTGCCCTGCCTGATGCCAACCTGTACATAGGCCCCCTGCCCGCCTGCTCCCGCCTGTCCCCCTGGGGCAGCCAGACATCCATCCACCCCCTCTAACCTCTCAACGTGCAGCTTTCACCTGAGCCCTGGGCCCCGCGGGCAGGGAGGTGATGCGGTTGCTGGAGGGCGGGTGTGGGTGCCACTCCTGGTGAGGAGGGGCAGGCCCTCTGCACCTCCTCCCCCGCAGCTCCCAACCACTGCCCCGCCCAGCTCCCTGGAGCCCAGGGGCACCCTGGAGCCAGCCCTGCGGAGGCCCGGCCCCTCACCACTGAGGAGCAGGCCCTTCCTCCCGCGTCCCAGTGCTCTGCATGCTGTCCCTGGGCTGGGGCCGTGGCTCTCAGACCCTTGTTCCACAGAGGAGCCAGGCCCAGCCACCATCCTCTGCCCAGAGAGAGGGGGCTTGGACTGCTCAGGTACCTGGACCCCAGCCCATCTTCTCTGGCCTTCCCACCCCAAGCCCATTCCCTTCACCCCAACCCGGGCTGCGCCCGCACTCTGGCATGGAAGCTCGGGCAGGGGCAGCTGCTTCAGAAGATGAACCGGACACTCCACACCCTACTGGAGCCTGAGGCTGTCGGCCCTTCATTCCCCACGTCCCCAGGCTCTCCCTGGGCACAAGCCCCACCGCCAAGGAGCAAACCCCTGCTGCACTGCCCCTCCCAGAAGCCCCTTGGGTGGAATTCTCAGGCTGCCGTGGCAGGCGCAGGCCTCAGGAAGAAGGGAAGGCCCGGCCTCCCCTGGGTCAGGCCTAGGATGCAGGCTCAGCCTCAGGTTGGTGGGGGATGGAGTGCTCCTGGGGCCTGCCTCCTGCACAGGGCTCCATGGCGTCCAGCTCCCAGACACGTACTAAGTGCCTAGGGTTGCCCTCTGTGGCCTGCTCCCCCGGAGAGCAACTGAGGAGAGGCTGCCAGGCAGAGGCCAGGGCCGAGGGTGGGGCCGGGCAGCCCCGCTGACGGGGTGTCATGGGTTGCTGGGCGCCTCCACCTTCCGGCCCAGGCCTTATTCCTGCTCTAGAGCCCCGCCACCCCCCTCCCACCCAGAGAAGCACAGATCTCGGGGAGCTGTCCCTTGAGCCCAGCTGGCCACGGCAGGCTGCAGGCTTCTCCCCACTGCCCTGCCACCTCTCCACTGTGATGTATGTCCTTTGTCTGTTCCTACAGGAGCATGAAGTGACTGGGGTTAGCTGGGTGGGTGCGGCTGGAGGAAGGGGCCGGGCGCAATTCTCCTCAGGCTTTGGCCCTGCAAGTGAGCCCACATATCTGCCCTGTATGTAATAAACGTCTGCACACCGCACCTCTGCGTCCCGAGCCCGGCCCGCGAGCCTGACACAGGTTTTCGGCTGTTTATTATGAAAGGAGACAGGGAGAGGGGCCGGGTGGCAGGTGGGCGCTCCGGGCCTGGCCGGCACCTCGGCTACTCGTGCAGCCAGCGCGCGGCGCCGTCCTCCCCGCACAGCAGTTCGTCCGCGCCGAACCACAGCGCGATCTCCCGGCGGGCGCTCTCCGGAGAGTCGCTGCCGTGGACCAGGTTCCTGCGGGAGGGGGAGAGGGGGCGCGG